GAGGATCTCATAGCGCGGCAAGTTTTCCGTCGGGAGGGAAGAAAGAGAGAGAATGCAAGAAGGGGGAGTTTCGCATTTGAATAATGTAACGATGAGAATATCGTCGCCCGCGCAGGTCGGCAGAAGTCGTCTAGCTCAGGACAAAAGTAGTAATATTTTTTCATGCGCAAAAAATCAAGAAGAAACATTGGGAATAGCGCATCGCATAGGTTTGTTGACTAGATCAGATCTACCTGCTGGGGTGCCTTGTCTTGCTCGTCCGCTGGCATTGTGCAGGTCAGGGTCAGTGTCCCCGCCCCCACCCGCTGACCTGAACTACTGTCTAGTCGCCAACTTCACACCTGCTGCCTGCTGCAGTTCTGCACACCCAAACACCTTTTCCTTTTTTTCGCTGTCGTTTTCCCCGTGATAGGCGTGGGCTGCTGCCTACTGCTATCTCCCCCTAGTTTCTTTTGTGTTTCGCTTCCCATTTTTGCGTATTTTTCTGCTGCGCTGTCGTTGCTGAGTGCGGCGGCGGCGGCTCTGCTCGGGCCGAGCTGCTTGTGTCTCTCGTGCTCGTGCGCTACTACAAACCAACTCGCCGCCAATGCGGACGCTGAGATAAAGAAGTCCTTTAGAGGGTCCCGCTGGGCCGCGCTGCGCCCTGCGGTCCATTCTGGGGCGGCCCCGGGCGGCCCTGGCTGGTCCAGCCGCAAAGAAGGCAGCAGAAAAAGGAAGGATTGAATAGAGTCGTTTCTCGAAAAGGCCGCGCCGCCCTGCTGCCCCCGAGGCCCCGGCCCTCCTGGCCCTGCAGTGTGCTGCCATTTGCTTTTCTCGGCCGGAAATTGGCGTTGAGAATGCTGCGCGGGGCGAGGACGGGGAGGGAGGGGAGGGGGGTGAGGTAGAATCAGGCCCCTCCCGTGCAGGGGCGGGGCCAGGGACTTAAACGCCGGGGGGCGGCCGGAGAGCGCCGCGGCAGCTCGGCGCCCCGGCGCCCGCCCGTCGAGCCGCGTCCGGCACAAATATTCCACTTGCAAGAGACGAAAATGGACATCAGCAGCTGCAGCAGCAGCAGCAGCAGAAGCAGCAGCAGCAGAAGCAGCAGCTGAAGCAGCAGCAGCAGAAGCAGCAGCAGCAGAAGCAGCAGCTGAAGCAGCAGCAGCGCGTGTTGCAGGAGTGAGGGTGCGACATGATGACCTTTCGCGCCACGCTCGGCCGCGCGCTCTTCGGACGCAATGGTCTTCCCTTTCCGGTCAAGCTGCAGCAGGAGCAGCAGCAGCAACAGCTGGTTGCAACAACAGGGCGGAGTAGTGTCCACTCCGGGCTGCCCTGGCACTCTGGTTACGGCCCCATTCCGCCCGGGTAGACAATACAATTGGCGCGGAGGGGCAGCTCGCCGGCCCCGGTCCACCCCGCCACTCCCTGCCCCGCCGGCTCTCTTGACGGCCGAACCTAACTCTCCGGCAAAAATGCACGCAGCGAGCGACGTTTGCAAAATACCGAC